AAAAGAACGGTGAGGGTCTGAAAAAGCTATTGTAGGGTAATAGGCGAGCTTTGGCTCAGGGATGAAAAGGATGGCTTCCTGGCTCTCAGGACTGAACTAAGATGTAAAGGAATGGGTTTTTATTGTTGCTAATCTGCACAGGTGTGTGGACTTGTTTTTTCTTTTTCGCACTAGTACTTGGCAACGCAGGTGTGGCAGTGAGAAAATGAGAGAGTGGACTGATGCAGGGTTATGATTTTCCTGGGCAGGTGCAGCGGGTTCACAAATTGGCAGAGAGGTCGAGACTGTTGACCAAAGAGTGCTGGGAGTTTCCGGCCGGGGTCTGAGGAACGACTGGAGGGCTCACCGAAGTGGCAGAAAGGCCCAGAGGTCAGGTCAGGAAGGGGGGCTGTGCGGGTTAGATGGGCTTTCCTTACGGGCAGGAAACGTACGCAGGGGGTTGGGGGCCTCTGAGGTGTCAGTGTCTGTGGGGTCATTCTCCTGCCAGGAAGTCCGAAGACTGTAGATGACAAGGGAGGAAAGTGACAAGACTGCACTGCCTGAGCCTCAGAGTGAGGAAGAGATTCGGCAATGATACAAATATGACCTGAGGGAGGAGGCGATGTCTGAGCTCTGTGCGGATCAATAGGAGTTCTCCAGGCAGAGGAGAAAAGTGAGGGAGAGCATTCCAGATAAAATCAATATGTTCATTGATTTTAAGTTTTCTTCCAACATAATATCTTTCAGGGGATATAGATCATAACTATATATTCTGCTTCCTATTTTTCCTTTGTCTCCAGACTATGACCATTCTAGAAATAAAATCTTCTCCTGAAATTAAAAGAACCGTATCTCTTAGATATGTGAGCAAGTTTGATTTTCATCTTGCCTGAGTTTGCCAGTCGTACAGTCTGGATAACTGTTACCATTATTTTCAAGAGAAAAATGGCAAGAATTAAAGATAACAATTCTAGGGGCACCTGGGTGGCTCAGTCTATTAAGCGTCCGACTTCGGCTCAGGTCATGATCTCGCGGTTCGTGGGTTCAAGCCCTGCATTGGGCTCTGTGCTGACAGCTCAGAGCCTGGAGCCTATTTCAGATTCTGTATCTCCCTCTCTCTGACCCTCCCCTGCTCACACTGTCTCTCTCTCTCTCTCTCTCTCTCAGAAATAAACAAAACATTAAAAAAAATAACAATTCTATAGAGCTCTTGCTACCTTTGAAGAAGTGCCACTTTTATGACTTCACAAATATCAATATTTTAGCATCCATTGCTTGTCCATGAGCCATATTTCTCTTCTCTTCTTTTGAAGCTAGTGTGATTTTAGAAGGATCCCGGGCGGAAAGGCCAGACAGAGCCAGTATTGGATGTTGCTAACAACATTACTAGCTGTGACATTAAACTTAACCTTTCCAGATGCCATTTCTTCCTCTGTGAAATATGGATAACATGCCTATCTCCAGAGCTGAGGATGAAATGAAAACATGTCAATAAGGGATATGACACAGAATAGACGCTCAATAAGTATCCTCCGGTTCTCTCTGAATCGTCTTCGCTCCTCCCGGATCTGGTTTTCTGTGCCAATTTCTTCCAGCACTTGGCTGCTGACCTTGATCATATTTTTCCCTTCATCCATTGACTTCTCTACACTTGCCTTTCGTTGAGCTCCCACAACTCACACTAATACATCACAGTTGCCTGAAAGTATTTTCCTTCCTAGAATCTCGACTTCTAGTAGTCTGGCTCAGCTCTGGCTCAGAAAGATCCAAGAGAAAAAAATGGGGGGCGGGGAGGGGGAAGGTGAAAGGGAAACTCTTTTGTACTAGATGGTTTTAAGAATGCAGTCCTGGAGACAGGGGCAGAAAGTGATCACAGAACAGAAAACAGAACAGAGGAGACACCTTAACAATAGAACCTCCGGCAGTAAAGCCCTGCTGCCTTACGTACAATGTTACTATGTCTTCGTGTTCTCACTGCCTTTCTGAAACTGAATCGGAGGAAGAAAATCATCTAAAAACTAAATTTCTCAGATGGTTTGTCACTTTTTAAAAATACATTTTTCATCAAAATGTAATCCATCCTTTAAATTTCTACTTGCCAGACTTGTTTTACATTTTGTCTCTGATAGAGGTTTGCAGCCAAGAAAAACCACGACTCTCCAACTGATTGTGTTTACACTTTCAGAATAGAGGAGCACCTTGTCTTTAGGTGAAAGACGGTCCCCGGGGTTGTGCAACATGGTTGCCTGAGAATCAGGGAGGCTTGGCTGGGTCCTCAGAAACCCAGGACGTGGAGATGCTCAGCTGCCGAACCCCACGGCTCCTTTGCCTTTCCTTGTTAATGGTGAAGCACACGGTGTGTGCGAATTTTTATGCAACTGCAGGAAAATACATTTGTAATGTACAGAAGGCCCTAAAAACAAGTAATTCACGAAGAAATACAAAGGGGCCCATGAAAGAATGTCCTGCCTCTGTCGTGATGAACGCAAGGCCACTGAGAACAGCAACAAGCCCCAGGGGCAGGTTGGACCCTGAGCATGAAACAATCACCGTCAGCCGCTGAAGGTGAGCGAGGCCTGGGAGAGGAGGTCCTGAACGGCAGCGCCGGTTTCTACTGGGCAACGTGACCCCGGATGACCGCCTCGTCTTCGTTATTCGGGTCCGAGTGTCGTCCTTCCGGCCCATCCCTTGCAGTAGACACGCTCACCTAACAGGCATGTGTCAGATTGGGACAACAGAAGGGGAATGGCCTAAAATAGTATGTGTTTAACACTTATAAACGATTTTTAAAAATTTAAAAAAATGGGGCGCCTGGGGGCTCAGTCGGTTGAGCGTCTGACTTCAGCTCAGGTCATGATCTCACGGTTAATGAGTTCGAGCCCCGCGTCGGGCTCTGTGCTGACAGCTCAGAGCCTGGAGATGCTTCACATTCCGTGTCTCCCTCTCTCTCTCTCTCTCTCTCTCTCTCTCTGAAGTAAAGAAAACATAAAAAAAATTAAAACTTATAAACGAATAATGTTAAATACACACAAAAGTAGAGAGAACAGTATGGTTATCCCTTCCGAGAACCCATCTCTAGATTCAATAGTTAACCAATATATTTTCCTGCCTCCCTCCATTCTTCCTTTCCCTATTTCCTTCTGCTCTCCTATTTTCTTTCTTCCTCCCCCCTTCCCTCCTCCCTCCCTCCTTCCTTCCTTTTTTGCTTTCCTCTTTTCTTTTTTCTTTTCTTTCCTTTATCTTCTCTTTTCTTCTTTCTTTCTTTCTTTCTTTCTTTCTGTCTGTCTGTCTTTCTGTCTTTCTGTCTTTCTGTCTTTCTGTCTGTCTTTCTTCTCTGCATTATTTTTTTAATTTAAAGTTTAGTTAGCCGACATACAGTGCAATATTGACTTCAGGAGAAGAATCCAGTGATTCATCACTTACATATAACACCTGGCGCTCATCCCAACAAGTACCCTCCTCACTGCCCATCCCCTATCTAGCCCATCCCCCACCTACTTCCCTCCATCAACCCTCAGTTTGTGGTCTATTGTTAAGAGTCTCTTGTGCTAACAAACCACAATAGACTCTTAAATACAGAGAACAAACAGGTTTGCTGGAGGGGTGTCGAGTGGTGTAGAGGTCTGTGTGGGACAGAGGTATCTCACTCTTTATCCATTCATCGGTTGATGGACTTTTGGGTTCTCTCCGCAGTTTGGCTATTGTTGATAATGCTGCTTTTGTAGCAGCATTGTATTTTTATATCCTTTGGGTAAATACCTAATAGTTCTTCTCTGCATTATTTTAAAACATATTCCTATCATCATCTCATCTTAACCCTAAGTATTTCTTTTAAAAGAGACGTCTTCTTCTACAACCACAATTCTCTTTGCCTGTCTAACAAACTTAAAGAAATTCATTAATAACATCTGATTCCAAATATGCCTTCACATTTTCTCAGTTATTCCAAAGAAGACTTTTACAGTCTATTTATTTGAATCAGGACCCAAATGAGGTCCGACCATTGCATTTGATTGTAATGTCTTTAAGTCTCTTTTAATTTGCAACAGATCTGTTACTGCCCCCCCACCCCCACTCGACTTTTCTTTTGGTCCTTGACTTTTTGAATAAGCTGGCTTAGCTGTCCTGTAAATTGTACCAAATTCCGGATTTGTCTGTTTGTTCTCCTCCTGCCCTGCAAACCAAAGGTTAGATTTAAATCTTGATTAAATTCAGGTTTAACATTTTTTTGGCAAGAATATTTCATAAGCGCTGCTGTGTATTTCTTATTACATTACATCATGTGGTACATAATGTCTGGTTCCCTCATTTCGAGACATGCTGAAATTGATCAACGGGTTCACATGGGGCAGCCTGAGCCTTCCGTTGTAAAGATCTCTATCATCCCTTCTCCTAATGCCTTTAGCTTCCCTGGATGTGCATTGCCTGAGTTATTATTTCATTAGCAGTTGTAAATGGTGATGTTCCAAACTTATTAATCCATCTCCATTTAATAGCATGAATTCTTCTCTAACAACAACAAATCCTCATCGACTGGGGCTTTTTTGATTACTCTGAAACGTAGCCATACCGGATAGGTCAGATAAACGCATATTATCCCAACTTGTCCTTGAAGCAATGACAAACCAGTGGCAAGGTGTACCCATAAGGCCCAGATTGTGGTCTCTAAGAACACTATACGCTGAAAGAAACCAGGACTTTGTGAAGAAAAGGCTGATCCCCCGTCTGAGGCTGGAAATAGGATGATAATAAACCTTCTGGTGCCAGCAAGCAGAGAATCTACCGAAAATACACAAACGAAAAACCGAAACTAGGACTGTGTCCTAAAGATCTCAGCGGGTAATTTGAGAATCAAAACAAATAACAACTGCAATTGATTGGCTCATGTTGAGTATGTTTTAAAAGTGCGTGAGTTCATGATACAGACAAATACCCTCGTAGCCATGCAAGAAAGCAGGACACCAACCCCTTCGTCTGGAAATTAGTCAAGAGAAAGAGAGATTCTGTTTTTGAAAGGTCACCTTGGCTGCTGTGTGAAGGGAATGCTGCAGGAAGACAAGGGTGGAAACAGCGAGGCTTCCCCCGAGGTCCAGGGGCTGTGCAAGTGCCAGAGGTAGACGGGCCAGAGCTGCTCCCGATCTCCTGGACTTCTTGTTTCCAGTGGGGAAGGCTGCCTTGTGACAGGATAAATGTAGGCAAGTGGAGTATGTACAACAGCCAGCAGCACACGGGAAGGAAGCGTGTCAGCCGTGCCCGGAGCGTTCGTCCAGGCCAAGCTGGGTCTCACAGGTTGAATGAGAATTAAACACTTGGTCTTGCCCCAAACCAACCCCAGAGCCAGTTGGAGCCTGACGGAGCTGAGGCGGCGGTGGTCAGCACTGACTCGGGATCTGGGCAGGATTCACGTGGCGGGAGGGGGAAGGGAACGTCGAGGTCCTGCAGGGAAGGACTTGAAGAAGGTGGGCTGAAATTTGACCCAGCCGAGCGCAGGGAAGGCGAGCGCTCAGGTCTCTCGCTTGTTTCACGTTTTGATTTTAATTCCAGTTGGTGAACATACAGCGATCTTTCAGTTTCAGCTGTACAATATAGTGATTCAGTGCTCCCTTGTCACCCAGAGCTCATCACGACAGGTGCCTCCTTAACCTCATCACCTTTAGCCCACCCCCCACCCCTCCCCTCTCAGAACTCTGTATTATCTCCACTGTCTCTCTGTTGATAGGACTGTTGCTTGGACCTGGGAAGGAGGTGCTACTTGGGCAACTGAGAGGAGAACCATGAAGAGTGGAGAGGCAGATAGAAGCGAAGGACAAATCACAGCTCTGCCACATGGAAGATGCGTTTTGCTGTTACCGAGTTGTATCACGGGGAAAGACGTGCTTGTGGAATAGCCCAGATAGGCTCTGTTGTGTTACGTTAAAGCCCGAAGCACTGGCAACGATAGAAACATTGAAGATTGAAAAAAAAAAAACATCAAGGGATAACCAGGCAGACAAAAGTAAAAGTGGGAGACAGACTCTGGCTGAGGAATATCGAGAGGAGGGTGCCCGAGTGAACCTTCACACAACCCGGAAGGTCTGCAAATGTCCCCAACCCTCAGGAATGGATGGAATGAACTCTACCCCACAGGCAGGTGAATACTATGGACCAGACACACAGACGTACAGAGAAGAGTTACAGCCCACTACCATGCTGAAGCGGAGGGTTTAAGCAACTATTTCAAATAATAATTAACGATAACATCGAGTTCTGGTGGGAATGCAGTCAAGCCGCTCCTTTCGTACACGGCCAGTGAGAGTTAAATCGGTACCATCCTCTGGGAAAATGATTTAATAGCACATTTAAGACTTTTTTAAAGTTCTCAAACTTTGACCTAAAAAGTATATCCTCGAAAAATGCATTTTAAGAAAAATCCAAACAGCCTTCCAAGAATATAAACGCAAAGTATATCAGAAAAGTATTTAATATAGAGAAAAACTGAACAAAATCCAGATTCCCACCCATAAGATTAATTAAGGGAGGCATGTTTGTAAATGGAATCTTAAGCAGGGCTTCAGTGTTTCTAGTTTTCAGGAGGGGAAGCGTTTATGATATTAAGTTAGAAAGTAGAAAATAAAGCACATGACTTTTTTAGTTTTTAAAATCATGTAGAAAGTATATCTACAGGGAGGGAAATACAGCAAAATTATCTGTAATCAGTATGCATTACGTTTTAAAAAAATTTTTTTTTTTATTTCTAGGAGAGAGAGAGAGAGAGGGACAGAGTGAGCAGAGGAGGGTCAGAGAGAGAGGGAGACACAGACTCTGAAACAGGCTCCAGGCTCTGAGCTGGCGCAGCACAGAGACCGACGGGGGGCTCGAACCCACGAACCGCAAGATCATGACCTAAGCGAAAGTCGGACGCTTAACCGACTAAGCCACCCAGGCGCCCCTGGTATGCATTACTTTTAACAAGTTTATCCAGGTATAATTTATATACAATAAAATTCACCAATGTAAGTGTACAAGCCGATGTTTTGACAAATGTTTACACCTGTAAATATTACCACAGTAAAGATATAGAACATTTCAATCGCCCTAAAATGTTTCCTTATGCCCCTTTGCCTTCCGTTCCTCTAGGTCCCTGACATGACAACCACAGTCTGTTTTCTGTCACTATGGTTTTGCCTTTTCTAGCATTTCACATAAACAAAGTCTTATATAGGCTTTTGCGGCTAACGTGATGCTTTTGTGATTCTTCTATGCTGTTGGATGCCTCAGCCCTTCATGCCTTTGTATTATTGAGTAGTATTCCACCGTACAGATATACGACAATTTGGATTTCAGTTGCTAGGCATTTGGGTTGTTTCAATTTTCTTACTATTATGAATAAAGATGCAGTGAACATGCGTAGAGGACACAGTATTCACCTCGTTTGGGCAAATCTGTAGATGTGGAAAGAGTAGATTATTTGGTGCTAACTTTATAAGGAACGGTGAAGAGCTTTTCCAAAGTGGCTGGATCTTTCCCAATGAGAGTTCCAATTGTTCCACACCTTGTCAACACTTGGAATTGTTCATTGCTTTTATTTTAGCCATTCCAGTGGGTTTACAGTGAAACTCAATGTGGTTTTGATGCAGGTTTTCCTAATGACTAATGATGTTGAGCATCTTTTCATACATGTATATGCCATCTGTAGTATGCCCTCTTTGGTGAAAATCTATCGAAATCTTACCCCTTTACCTCCTGACCCCATCATTTATTGGTTCGTTTTCTTATTATAGTTCTAAGTGTTAAATATCCTGCATATATACATTTATTTACTGGATATGTGTTTAGCGAATATTTTTCCTGTGACTTTTCATTTTCTTAACAGTATCTTTTGAAGAGAAAAACTGTCAAATTTTGATAAGATCCAACTTAACAATTCTTTTCTCTTATAGTTCATACTTTTTGTGGAAGAGGTTCCAGAAATCTTTGCCTAACTCCGAATTACTAAGATTTTCTCCTTTATCTTCTTCTAAAAATTTTATAGTTTTAGCTCTTACATTTACATCTATGATCCATTTTGTTTTGTTTGTGCCTTTTTATCATGTCTGAGAAGTTGCCTTTGTTTTCTAAGATTTTTTAAAATGATTTTTTTTAATGATTTATTTTATTTTAGAGAGAGAGGGAGAGAGAGAGAGAGAAAGAGAGAGAGAGAGAGAGAGAGAGAGAGAGAGAACACAAGAGCATGAACGAAGGAGGGGCAAAGAGAAAGAGGGAGACACAGAATCCAAAACAGGCTCCAGGCTCTGAGCTGTCAGCACAGAGTCTGATGTAGAACTTGAACTCACAAGCCATGAGATCGTGACCTGAGCTGAAGTTGGATGCTTAATTGACTGAACCATCCAGGTGCTCCTGAGATTTTTTAAAATCACGTATGAGTATTGAATTTTATCACATGTATTTTCTGCAACCATTGAGGTGATGTTTTATTTGACTCTATGTTATTAACACAGTAAATCACCTTATTCTTTAAATATTAAAATAAATAAGGCCATTGCACTCCTGAACTAAATTCTGTTTTTCATGCTGTATTACCTTTTGAAGTACGTTTTTAAATTTCAGTTGCCAAAAAGTTCTTAAGGACTTTTCTATGTTATGAGGGATATTGATGCATACTTTTCTTTCTCAGTGTATTTTTCTGGTTGGAGTTTTAGGGTGATATTGGTCTCTTAAAATGAGCTAAGACCTTCTCTCAATTCTATTTTCTATAGCAGTTCGTGTAAAGTTGACATTATTTATTCAATAAGTGTTTGGTAGAACTAAACCATGAAATAAACTGGGCCCAGAGTTTTTTTGGTGGAAGATTTTTACTGATTCAATTTCCTTCAGAGGTAAAAAGCCACTCATGTTACCTTTTTGTTCTTGAGTTAGCTAGAGTAGTTTGCTTTTTTTGAGATTTTTTTTCACTTTTATCTAAGCTATTGAATTCATTGGCATAAAGCTTTTTACACGTTGTAGGAGCTATACGGACATTACCTCTCGTATGGTTAATATTGTCAATTTGTATCTCTATTTGTTGCCTATAGCTAGAGGTTTATCAATTTTATTGATTTTATTCTTTTTTCTACCTATTTTTCTGTTTTCTATGTTTTCATTATTTTCTGTTGTTTATTGTTTCATTCCTTCCATTTACTTTTGGTTTGGCTTACATTATTTTAATCAGAAAAAAATCAATAGATAAAAAACAAATATGACCCCAAGACACACTAAAATTCTCTCTTTTTCAGGTATTAAAGTAAAAAGTTTCAGTTTGGGGGCGCCTGGGTGGCTTAGTCGGTTAAGGGTCCGACTTTCGCTTAGGTCATGATCTCGTGGTTCGTGGGTTCGGCCCTGCATCGGGCTCTGTGCTGACTGCCAGCTCAGAGCCTGGAGCCTGTTTCAGTCTGTGACTCCCTCTCTCTCTGACCCTCCCCTGCTCACGCTCTCTCTGTCTCCTAGAAATAAATAAAACATTAAAAAAAAAAGTTTCAGTTTGAAGAAGGAAGACTAGAGACTCTCCCAATCTCCAAGGGCTACTAGCAGCTCCATTAAACCAAACAAATCACTATTTGCCTTCCCTGAACCAAAAATTACTGGAGAAGCATTGTCGTTGGCAGGGGGCAGGAGGCAGGGTGCAAGAAAAGTAATTTATTTGACTCTCTCATGTCCATTTCTATACTACATATTCCCCATATATCTCACAAAAGCACTTTGCTTTTCTCAATTTAGAAAAAAATAAGGAAGTCAGGCCGTGATCTTTATCACTCACCTCCTGAGACCATCTTGATAAAAACTAAGAACAATTATGAAGTGCCCTGTGAATACAGCTGTGAAGTGTAAATTGCCAGTATGCTAATTAAGAATTCATTAGGAATGTCAACATATCGACATTGAGAGTCTCCATTTACCCAAGAATGATTATGCTTCACAACTGAGCTGTGATCATTGTCATCTAAAGCTCTGAGTATTTCTAGCATGTCTGCCTCCGCAGGACGCTGGGCCAGCAGAGACGACCCTGTTCTGAAAGAGCTTGTTTTTATTAAGGATCCAAGGCATGTGTGAAGAGGTGAGTGTTTCCACGTGGTGCAAAGCTAAGTGCCACCGGAGTGGTGCAGAACCTTAGAAATTCAGAAGGTTCACAGCACAGATGAAATTTATTGGCTTTTAAAGGAAAAGTCCGGCTGAAACAGGAAAAAAAAGAGAAAGAAACATAAATCCATTCAGAGGGATTGGGGGGAAGCAAATAGGCAGAGGGAAGAGGGCTTATGATGTACTTTTGAAATAAGCAGAACAGTTACACGTTGTGAAATGGAGCAGAGGAAAATAACTGGAGAGAAATCATCAGCCCCCTAACATGTGTTTTATGTGAAACGGTTTGCACATGATTGTTGAGCCCACGATGCTTTTGTTGCATTCGGGGATCATTACACTAATTTTAGAGCAGAGAAAGCGGAGGCTCGGGGGGCAAAGGACTTGCCTAGATTCAGAGTCAAGACAGCAACTCCAGTCTTTCAGCCGAACTCCCTGCCGTAGTCAGGTTGGCAAGGGCTTGGGAAAACTACCTGAAGGGATGTGGGCTCCATTGTGTGAGCACTGCAGGTACACTGGTTGTTTGAACACAATGAAGAGTTCCGGGAGGACAAATCAGATGGAACTTTGTAAGATGAGTCGCAGGGGGAAACAGAGGCAGGGAGGAGGCTTGTGTAACAGCCCCAGTATACTGCACGTCTGTTCCCGTGGAAGCTGTGGGAAAGGAAAGGAAAAGGTGTCAAACACTTCCCCGAGTGCCTTCCTTTCAACACATTTTTGAAAAATTAAAATTTTATCGATCTTAAAAGGAAAAGGAGGGAGGGTTTTGTATGTGTGGGTACAGGAATAGGCTGACTGGGGAAGAAAAGTAATATATTCAATTTTGGGTAGGTTGAGTTTGAAGAGCAAGTAAAGCATCCAGGAAAAGAGATCTAGCAAGGCATGGAAATCAGTATGGTGCTGCAAGTTACATAACCCTGAATGGAGCATGTAAGTAGAGGTCAAGGTCAAGTAAGAAGGCTCTTGGGGCAATTCTATTATCACTGATTCTATTTCTATTTATTTATTCATTTTTTAATTTTAGAAAGAAAGAGCATAAATGGGGGAGAGAGGCAGAGGGGGAGAGAAAGAGAGAGAGAGAGAGAGAGAATCCACACTCAGCATGGAGCCCCACACAGGGCTCAATTCAATGACCCTGAGATCATGACCTGATCTGTAACCAAGAGTCAGACACTCAACCGACTGAGTCACCCAGGTGCCCCACAGCTCATTCTTTCTAAAGGATCAATGCTGTCTTTACATGCTCCATGTAATTAAAAAGAGGTCAAGCACAATGCTCTGGAAAGGTGATGAAAATTTTTGGAAAATCAGACCTACAAAGGAAGACTTTACAGTAGCTGTAGCAGCAGCCAACATGGATTAGATACTCTAGCACAAGGAAGTGACATTCGCTGAGTGCTTACAGAGCACTGGAAGCTTTTCCTGTTCAACTTCAAGCAACAACACTGATCAACTGAGTGGAGAGAAAATGACGGCGGAAACTTGTGGCCGAATCACACAACTGAAACGAACCTAGAGACCCAGGCTAAACATTCCTTTCAGAGAGGAGGAGCCGTGGGCCTCGGAAGGTTAATGGACTTACTCTCCAAAGAGTTTGAAAAAGCAAAAGTATATTCTTGTTATTTTGACTTAATCACAATCCTTTTGAAGCCGTAAAAGAAGACTGTCCCTGCGCGCCCTGTACACGGGGCATGTGAGTATATTCTGGAATTACATTTAGTAAAGACAAAGGGACGACCTGTCAGCTGAGGCCCGACCTTTGGGTGACTAGAATCTCACCCAGCATACGGCTTCTTGCAGCACCTTGTGTGCAACCGAAGTGGCTCAATATTTCTACTATTCTAAACAATGAGTAGTTTTCTCCAGGGCCCCCATAGGTCAAGACCACATAGTCTATTTTGAGCTATCGACACGACTTGAGTAAGCTGCTTTTTCAGTCCAGATTAACATTTCCCAGACTGATTTCAGCCCTGAAGAAAAGCTTTGGGTGAGGAGGTTGGGCACAGCTCAGCGGGGTCCTCCGCTCAGGCTTCACAGGCTGCTAGCAAGGTGTCAGCTGGGGCTGGGCTGTCACCTGGGAGGCCCTCTTCCAGGCCTTTCAGGCTGCTGGCCGAGCCTGCTCCCACGTGATTACGTGACAAGCCCGTGTTTTCTTGCCTGCTGTCAGCCAGGAACCCTCTGCCCTTCTCTCTAAGCAGCTTGCAACATGGCTGTGTGCTCTCTTCAAAGCTGCCAGGGAAAACTCCCCTGTTTTAAATATGCTTGTAAAGGCCCGTCTGAATGGACCGGCCCCTCCCAGGATCAGAGCAACTCATCTGCAACATTGGTAACGACTATGAGATCCCTTTGCCACATAACGTGATGTAATCAGGAGAGTGAGAGCCCACATTCACGGGTTCCCGCCACGCGAAGGGGGGGGGGGGGTTGCACAAGGACTCGGGGCCCTGGACACCATCTCGGAAGCCTGCCCCTCACAGGTCTTAAAATAAAGTTGCTTCACATGAATAAGAGCTGTCGGTAGATATACTGCTTTCAAGTCCTCTATCAAAATATTAGAGTCAGATTTGACGGCATGGCTGACGCAAACCACAAATGTGTCAGACCTCACATCTCCCCTCTTTGTGCTGCTAGAAAGAATAAAAAAGCTACGGCACATCTTGAGAGTTTCTTCCCCCTTCCAGACCTGTCAGCCTGCCCCCAGTTTGCACATCATCCGAACTCCCGTTGGCCCGTTTTTTCCTGCAGTGAGAGAAGCACCTAAGAACAGAATTTGCAAGGAGTTAAGTGACGTCCGTGTTATGTCTCCATGAATATTTGGTTTTTACTTTATTTTTTTTAGTGTTTTGTTTATTTTCGAGAGAGAGTGAAAGTGGGGGAGGGGCAGGGAAAGGCGGGGACAGAAGACCCAAAGCACGTTCTGCGCTGACAGCAGTGAGCCCGATGCAGGGCTTGAACTCACGAACTGGGAGATCATGACCTGAACCAAGGTCAGACACTCAGCGAACTGAGCTACCTGGGCGCCCCAGTATTTGCATTTTAAAGAGGCGCACGTAGCCACACAATATTGTACTCTAGCAATTCTCTATGATAGAATGTCACCCACATCACACCAGGAAGGGAGTGGGCAAACAGTATGTGTCTTTCCTGCATCTCTTATAATTCTGCTTGACTCATCTCTGGGGAAGCAGAGATGCTGAGCTGTGAAGACCGTGAGCATCCCCTGTGCACAGGAGGGAAACTCAAAGCCCACACCAACCCCCCATGCACACCAAAGCCTCGCACCACCTTCTGTGGAGGGTTAAGGATGGGGTTGGTCAAGGAGACAGTTAAACTACATTACCAGATAGCGGGGCTTTCTCATAGTTGTACACTTTGGCCTTTTCTGGAATAAATTTGGCTTTATTCTTTTAAAAGCACATTACAACACTTCTTCTAGGGTTCAGCTCTCCATGCCTCCACTTGCATAATTTGTGATAAGATCCAGAAAGTCCAGACTTGGAGCTTGGGCATGGGTCGCTCTAGTATGTTCTTCAGTTAAAGAGCCAAAGGATCCCCCTAGCTCTGTGAAGTCCAGCCTGGCTCACCTGGGCTCCATATAAGGGCTTTGGCACATAAATCATTCTAGAAGTAGACAGTGCTGAGATCTGTCCGGAGTGAATTTTCTGTATTGCTTCCTACCAAGTGCACATCGGAGTTGCCTGACTGAGTCCTCAACATACTGGAAAGTGGATGTCTTCCTATCTCTCATTGCACCAGGGACATGACTAAGGCCGGACACTTTCTAAATCTTACTTCAAGGAGTCACCTTCATACGTGTCCTGAATGAGATGCACTATTTACAACTTAACTTGTCTTGAAAATGTCAGGATGTGTGTCCAATGACTACCTGTTAGCTCTTTCCTAGGTGGACTTGGAGTTTCACCTCTGGACTCATCTCACCCAGAGGAAATTGTTTCTGAAGAAATCATTGGGCAAGATTTCCGACCATTTTTGTGAGTCTGTGTATGGCTTGCCAAGTTATCATTCTATCTGGAACCAGCCCTTCCAAGTGTTTCTCTGCCCATCGTGATAAATTATGAGTAATGGGTTTTTGTCTACCACTTCCTATCTGGGGTAGCTCCCTAAGATAGGCTGGGAGTTGCAATTTTGGTGGGGTGCAGGTGAAAGCTTGCGTTCTTGCTGCAGATCTGATGTTTGGCTGGAGTCTTTGAAGTACCACGTATTCTACCTGCTTTGGTGAGACTCCACACACTTAGATTTGAACACCCACCATAGACTAAGGTGTTTGGAGATGCAGAGATAACTAAGATACACATCTCTGTCCCCCAGAAATTCCCTAGTAGGCTTCTCCTTCTATAGCTGAGTAGCTCCTGTGGCTTTCTGGGCAAAGAGAAGAAACTTCTGTCCCTCAGGACCCATTTCTTTTAAGCTGAATCAAGACAGCTTAGAATTCTGATTCCCATTTTACAGGGAAAACTACTGAGGCATGAAGGTCCAGCAGCACTTTCTCATGAGTCAGCGATGACACTTACCACTGGGTTAAATCGTTTGTCTGCCATCAGTAAGCCATGAGCTTTTGTAGTTAAAATTGCGTTTTACTCATTTTGATGTTCCCCTCAGCCAGTACCATAAAAGGGTACTTTATGGTAGCTGTTTTATAATTGTTTTTATTGTTGCTGGCTCTAAATGTTTC